AGGAATGCCTGGACCCTGTGCCTCCTTTGGAAGGCTGCCAGGGCTGCCATACGTTCAGAAAAACCCTTGGTGCCGGAGATAGGTCAAAGGGGAAGCACCGAGAACTGAAAATGGTCTGTCCCGATGGCGAATCTCAGGAGCCGCCTGGGCAGCTTCCGACGGTGACAGACTGGTGTGGGCGGTGGCATGTGTTCCAAAGATGGCCCTGGCACCACGGGCTGTGCCGGTAACGAGGGGCCCAGTGGGCGGCTGGCTGATGCTGCTGATGACGTTGCTGGCAGAGCCGCTGTCGTTCTCGGTGCTGGTCTTGATGCTGTCTCTGGTGCCAGAACGCTCCCCGCATCCCCAGTGCCCATAGCTGGTGCCAGACCCGGCTACGATGTCAGCTTGATACAGTCCCGAGCTGCAATGATGGTGTCCGGCGTTGACAGCCGCTGGACATCCCCAATAGGCAAGTCCTGTGCCGGACTCACACCCTGCGCCAAGCTCAACTGGTGCCTAGGTGGCACAGGAGTGTCGAGGCACTGGGGGGAGCAGTCGGGTTTCAGAGTGCCCCTCTGGGTGCCGCACTCCGTGTCTGTACCTTGAGGGGCACCTCCCTCTATGCATCTTCTTGGGCACTGGCGACTGTGAGCGGTGCCGGGATGCAATGGTCTTGGACAGGGCTGCTGACTGCTTCGGTGCCCCTGCAGCTTTGCGCACCAATCCCAGTGCGTTCCGTATGACTGGTGCCGAGTCTGGTGCCGGTTGGAGAGCAGATTCCATCAAGAGGGGCTTGAACCTAGAATCTCACTCCCTCTTCGTTCTGGGCTTAAAGCCCCAGCAAACCTCGCAGCTGTGGCAAGTGTCATGGGGGTCGCTGCAGGGCAGAGGCTTCAAGCACTTAGAACAAGGCTTGAACCCCTGCGGCCCCGGCATCCCCTCCCCAGGAGGAGAGAGATAAAGTAGGAATTCCCTCTGTGAACAACTAACTGGTAACTACCAGTAAGTACTAAGAACACGCAGACAATTATACACACAAATGCTGAGGACCTGCAAAGAAGTCAAGCTGCTCCAACTACCGTCAGGGGCGGTAAGAAGGAACTGAGGGGGTGGAGGGTCAGCAGGGGTATAGATGCACCGATAGAGCTGCGCCACTCCAGGGGGCTCCCTGGCTGGTGTGATGGGTACCGCTGAGGGGGGAAAGCTCCAATTTCTATGCATCAGGCGCTCACACCTACATGGACTGGACGTGAGCAAGCACTCGAAGAATAATGCCCTCCTTCCCGCTGCAAACCTACACAACTAGCCTCGGCTACGCTAGAGTTAAATCCCGGCATTGGCTGGAGCTTGGCGGGCGACTCTTCTCTTCTGATTGTCTTGCTTGGGTTCTAAGGGTAGGTATGTCCAGACTACAAGCCTCTGCCGGCAAAGGATCAGTCAGCAAGGAAATCCTTTGCCGACCGATCCCGTAAACCTCATTTCAGGAGGCATAAGGGATCGGTCAACAAAGGATTTCCTTGCCGACCAATCCGTGTCTCGACTGCTGCATTGTGCCGACAATCAGTTGAGCCGGCACAACGTGGCGGCCATTTTTATTTTAATGAAGCAGGCGATATTTAAATCCCCGCTTCATTGACTATGTCGGGTAGTCTCATTTCCATGCCTCTGCCGGCAGAGGCATGTAGTCTAGACATACCCTAAGTGAACAGGGTTTGCTAGCTTCTTACCCAGTCCCCGGTGGGCATTTCTCTCCCTCCCTCCCGAAACATGCCCGCTCTGCACTGTCAATCAGCCCAACTGGCAGGCAACTTTCAGGAAAAGCCCAACTGCCCAGGGGGCATATTAGTTGCCCTACTGGAGCTGTGTCACGGGACTGCACTAGTATAGGGGCAATTCAGGCCAGAATAGGGGCAATTACACTTATTTCTATTTTCAAATGCAGAACATGTATAGAAAAGAAAAGGGGGTTCAAGGGGGAGTGAGCATTTACTAGCCTCAGCCCTCCAAAGCCAAAGCATTTGTATGGCATTTGCGCTGGATACAACTGCAGCCAGCAAACCTAATGGGAATATATAGTTTCATAACGTACATGGAATGCAAAGGCTTTACTCAATTTAAAAAAAAAAAATAATGGAAATTGCCTATCTCTTGGAACTGGAAGGGACCTTGAAAGGTCATCAAGTCCAGTCCCCTGCCTTCACAGCAGGACCAAGCACCATCCCTGACAAATTTTTGCCCCAAATGGCCTCTGCAAGGATTGAACTCACAACCCTGGGTTTAGCAGGCCAATGCTCAAACCACTGAGCTATCCTCCCCCCCCAGTAAAAATCTAGTTTTTACTATAAAAACTGGATTTATTCTATTTATGCATGCAAGCTGAAATCCAAACAACAACTGTAAATGAAAGATTATACCCTTGCCCCTGGATACTTAGTGCCACTGAAGACCTGTATCTTAGGGCACATTAAAACTCCTTGTATGGACAGTTTTAGAGGAAATAATTTGTTGCAAAGCTGGCATCAATTTTGTGTCATGTGTTAGGCTGCTTAGTGCTCGTTTACAGCAGCCTATTATGGCTTTGTGCTTTGCAGATTGTGAGGTTAGATTCAAAAATCTATTCGAACTGGAGGTACAAAAAGTCAAACTACCTGCAACAGGCTGGGCACAGATTTCTGTTCTGATTGTTTCAACGTGAACGGCCATGTAGTTGGCATGGGAACAGCTAGTTTAAAACCACACAAATCTGCATGGTGTCATCAGAGTTACTCTCACAGAACCAGCTCGCTCCCCAAAAGAGTCTAGCAAATGCAGTACTTTACTGCCATAAATCTACACTGGGCTCTCAGCCAGTCCCTGTAACGTATCAGGGTGCACTGCAGATCAGAACCTACCACATTTACTGAGACACAGAGTTTGCGCTATAGCTCTACTGCCTCTCTTAGAAACTTGCAGTAGGAGCTGAGCCCTGCAAAACAGGAGACAGCCAGCAAGGCTTTGCATCTCTGTCCACAACACTGCAACTCTCATCCAGGCCTGCTCCCACTGTCTCGATTTGAGCAATCTCCAGGTAGGTCTGCACTGCAAGAACACACTGACTCTGGCTTTGGGGTTCGGGCTGCAGGGCTATAAAATTGCAGAGTAGCAGTTTGGACTCAAGCGACACCCCTGGCTGAGACCTCACGAGTGGCGAAGGTCCCAGAGCCAGGAATGAGCCTGAATGTCTACACTACGATTTTTAGCCTCAAAGTCTGTGCCTCATGAGCCCCAGTCAGGGGACGCGAGCCAGTTATGGGAGTTTTACTGCAGTGCAGGCTAACCCACCATCTCTGTGGTCTTCTCACAGTCCAATCAAACTGCTGCGGGTGTAACCTTCTATGTACGGGATAGAGAGTGCCACCAATCCACTCTGAAACACTTACCATCAAGAGACACTGTCAAGACACAAAGCACCAGTGGGAATCTCAGAACCTGGATTCATAAATCAAGTTCTTAGGAAAAGTCAACGAAACAGCATGAATTACCAATACATACCTGCCTCTGTTTCTGGAGAAGATAGGTCAGATGTGAAAGAAAACTGGGGTTAAGGTCAAACAAAAATGTGTGCTGGGAAAGATGGAATTTTCCTTTGGTCAAAGTCTCTTATATTCTTGGATTTGAAAATGGCTATATTTATAGGCCTGGAGGAAACCAAAATAATCCCATCTAGAAAGTCCATATTAACTTTCCTCAGGCGACTGTAATGGAGTACATCCTCCAATCTATCAGAACATTATGACTGACCAGATTACTAAGCCCTGTAAGAGTCATTATTAAAAGGTTTCCATTGGGGAGGCATCAGTGGAACAACAAGAGAAACCCATCCCATCTAACGGACTACGGGACACATTCAATGTTAACAAATTCAGGCTCTTCCCTGCTTGTGATAAGTGAAAGGGCAGTGAGAAATGCAGTGCATCTCCTTAATGAGATCACTCTGACCAAGTCACCGCCTGTCTTAAAGAAATGGGGGGAAGGCCACCCCCACACTTTCGAACACGACTTTGCCCAATTTTTGGGATCACCTCCATAAGCAGTTCATTTTGTACATGATTGTTAAAAATGTTCTAATTATAAAATCACAGGGTGTGCTGTATTAGGAGAATGCTTACTTGGCTGAGTTTTCTGAAATGTCGAGGCCAGCCCTAGAATCTACACCAATTTTTAATACAACAAAGAAATTGACATTGAACAGAAGAATCTCAACTTAATTATCAATTTTCACTAAGAAAGCGTTCTAAGGTCTGTGTGCATATACTTGTACAAGCAAGGTCTGAATTCAAGCGCATTCACTCATTCAGAAATGTTGTACCCTACTGAAAGATTTCTAACTGCCTCTAGTCCTCTGAGTAAGTTGATTAGTAGTTGGTGAGTTCCTAGGAGATGTAAACTCTGCCCAGTCCTAGTTCCTTAGCTGCAAGAATTCGAGACAATGAAAAAGGAGAGTTCATGGCACTGGGACATTGATTAATGGTTTACACTGGACACAGCACAATAACTCACCCGGAATGCAGTTCCTTCCTCTATGATTGTTGGTAATTGGGAAAGGCAAATATCAACTGCGAGGTCCCACGCTTGCCTGGAGAAACAAGTGAGAGACAAGTCATCCTGGGATATGAATACGCAATGGTGGGAGGAGTCTAGACTGCTGATTATGCAAGAGGATGGACAATTTATAGAACCACCACATTGGCTTAGTTAATATGTAATAGCTCTTGGGTTCTGAGGGGGACAGTTTGCACTCCTGCAAAGCGTGACAGCATGCCTGGTCCAGAATCACAATGCACCACACAAGCTCAGTAAGCATACTACTACTCGTATAAAGACCACATTCCCTCCAGACAGGCAAACTTCTTTGATGTTCTTCTACTTTGCCCGTGAGTTTATATGGCACAATCGGTGTATTTTTATAAACCGAAAAAATAACAATCCTGGATTGACTGTAAATTGGTAGGAGGAAGTTTTCACATCACCACCCCTCTGCTCCATGAGACCCGTAGTCAGTTGGCACATTTCTAGCACAATTTGGAAGTAAGCCCCATGGAACTCCCATGGCATTAATAGAGCCTGGCTTCAAGTTGCCCTCTTGCTACACTGTACGACTGCCTCTTAGCACTTGTATGGTTTGGCAGACACAAAACTCTTCGTGAAATGTCGATATTAACTAGCTACTTAACCAGAAAGCGCGCCTGTGCGTGCTCTCGTTTCAGCTGTAACGGCCACTCTTTCAAGTGAACTCTGATGTTCTCATCATCAAATTCTCATTGCTGTCTTATTAATATCTGCCACCAGAGTAAAGCTACATCTCCCATAATCCTCAAGCACATACTTGTGAGGTGCCGAGTACATCCTTTCGAAGATTAGCTGCCAATCTGTAAGACATGCCAATGTGCTTTATCAGGTATCACTCCTGACAGGCCCGGCGAGTCACAACCCATGGATACGCTGACAGCGTCATGACAACGCTCGTCAGAATTCTAGACGTGGAAATCCCGCCAGAAAATGTACTGCTGAAGGGTGGCCTGGTCCTACTCCGATCTGGGTTATGCAAGGCTGCCTGGCGCAAGGAAATTTGCTGTGCATGCACCAGACACACTTGTGCTGGTGATACACATACAGCGAGCCAAGGAAAAACATAGGAAAAGAGCTGAAAGATTGTTGGAACTCATTCTTCTTCAGCTGTATACTATGAAAGACATTTTATGGGGGTGGGGGAGGGGCGACTTGGAAATCCACCCAAAATGGCTAACTATCAAGCAAGGGCTCAAAAGGCAACCAGTGTTTTGGGGGTGCATAAGAGAAGGCAAATTAATGCCGTTGAAATGAAGCAAGTTATTTGGCGAGAGGTAAGTCAGAATTTAAAGCCACAAGGGACCACAAGATTGTCTACTCCAACCCCCTGCATGTCTCACACAAGCCATTCAAGCTCACCCAAATAACCCAATATTAATCCCAATTACTTTAGTTAGACCAAAGCATTTCAGGCCTCCAGAAACCCAACTGCAGAGTGCCAGAAGTTCACAAGGACATTGTCACAAGGAGAGGCCAAGACCTGAGATCCCTGAAATAGCAAGGAATCGACTGAGACAAACCCAGAGGATCCTAGCAGAGAAAGGCCCCATGCTGCAACACAGAGGAAGATCATAGCATAGCATCATAGGACTGGAAGGGATCTCGAGAGGTCATCGAGTCCAGCCCCTCGCCTTCAAGGCAGGACCAAGCTCCGTCTACACCATCCCTGACAGATGTCTATCTAACCTGTTCTTAAATATCTCCAGAGAGGGAGATTCCACCATCTCCCTTGGCAATTTATTCCAATATTTGACCACCCTGACAGTTAGGAATTTTTTCCTAATGTCCAATCTAAACCTCCCCTGCTGCACTTTAAGCCCATTACTCCTTGTCCTGTCCTCAGAAGCCAAGAGGAACAAATTTTCTCCTTCCTCCTTGTGACACCCTTTTAGATATTTGAAAACCGCTATCATGTCCCCCCTTAATCTTTTTTTCCAAACTAAACAAGCCCAGTTCATGAAGCCTGGCTTCATAGGTCATGTTCTCTAGACCTTTAATCATTCTTGTTGCTCTTCTCTGTACCCTTTCCAATTTCTCCACATCTTTCTTGAAATGTGGCGCCCAGAATTGGACACAGTACTCCAGCTGAGGCCTAACTAGTGCAGAGTAGAGCGGCAGAATGACTTCACGAGTTTTGCTTACAACACACCTGTTGGTTACCAATCTAACCCGAGGGAAATTCCCAGGCAATCAATTCAACCCTGGGCAGGTCAGCAAGACACATCTGCCAGATATTTAATGACAGACTCAGAACCCTAGGGCTGGAAGAGACCTCGGGAGTCATAGGCTACGTCTAGACTGCATGCCTTTTTTGACAGAGGCTTTGTCGATAGACACTGTCGACAAAGCCTCTATCAAAAAAGAGCATCAGGATTATGATCAGTATTGTCGAGAAAGCAAGCTGCTTTTTCGAAAGTCTAGATGCTCTCTTTCGAAAAAGCACAATTTCCATGCAATAGCGCCTTTTTTCGAAAGAGTACCTTTGAAAAAAGGCGTTATTCCTCGTAAAATGAGGTTTACCACTGTCGACAAAACTGCTGCGTTCTGTCAACTTGCTGTCGACAGAACACGGCGGTAGTGTAGATGTAGGTATAATTTTGTTGACAAAAGCCAACTTTTGTCCAAAAAATCCAGTAGTCTAGACACACCCTCACTGATTGATAAATGTGGTTGGCAACCCTGAAAAAAAGACCTTGCAGACTGCTGAGCCATCTACCACCTCCCCTTTCCTATAAAGCCTTCTCATTAAATAAAGGCTCTTAAGGGTATGTCTACCGGGAGCCACAGAGGTAAACGAGGATCAGAAGGGGGCCATGAGCAAAAAGAGGTTGAGAAACACTGGTCTAGACACACCAATAGAGTCCAGTCCTCTGCCCAAAGCAGGACCAACCCAATTCAATCATCTCAGCCAGGGCTTTGTCAAGTCCGGACTTAAACACCTCTAGGGATGGAGATTCCACCCCCTCCCTAGGGAACCCATCCCAGCGCTTCACCACCCTCCTAGGAATCTAGTTTCTTCTAATATCCAACCTAGACCTCCCCCACTAACTGGAGACCATTGCTCCTTGTTCTGCCATCTGCCAACACTGAGAACAGCTTCTCTCCATCTTCTTTGGAACCTCCCTTCAGGAAGTTGAAGGCTGCTCTCAAATCCCCCCTCACTCTTGGCTTCTGAAGACTAAATAAGCCCAAATCCCCTAGCTTCTCCTCGTAGATCATGTACTCCAGCCCCCTTATAATTTTGGTTGCCCTCCGTTGGACCATCTCCAATGCGTCCACATCCTTTCTATAGTGGGGGCCCCAGAACTGGATGCACTATTCTAGATGTGGCCTCACTAGAGCCGAATAAAGGGGAATAATCACTTCTTTAGGTCTGCTGGAAATGTTCCTCCTAATGCACTCCAATATGCCATTAGCCTCCTTGGCTACAAGGGCACACTGTGGCCCTTAGGAAAGATGATTCTCTGAACCACACCCCATCTCCGGTCAACCTCTTTTGCTTCAGAGTAAGAAATCAACCCAAGCCCATTTGAAAATGTGTGCCTCATGTGAGAGATTCCTTCCTGACACTTAAAAGCAATTGGCTGAAGCCTTGATGCATGAGATTGGCTTATAGTTATCTTACTGCACAGCTACCAGTCTTAGAAGCATGTTAAGGGCAGTGCAGGCAGTCACGTTCTTCCAAAGGCCAATGAAGGAAGAGGATGAACAGGGGATTCACAGATTCCAAGGCCAGCTGCCCCCATAAGTACAGGCCATAAAACTCCTCCCAGAAGCTGGATTAAAGCCTATAATTTAGAAAAGATTTCTAATCTCATTTTAAAAACTTCAAGCAAAGGCAAGTCCACCAACTCCCCTGGTAAGCTGTTCCAATGCTTTATCACCCTCTGCTAGGAAATTACATCTTATTTCAAGGTTGAAGATGTCTAACTTCAGCTTCCTCCCACTGGAACCTGTTACACCTTGAACAGTAAGCGTGAAAAGCCCCACCCCCGCTCCGTGTCTTTTTCACATGTAATTCCGAGAGTGATCAAGTCACCTCTCTGCCTTCTTTTCAATAACTGAATAAATCGAGTTCCTGAAGCCTCCCAGTGCAAACGCTTACCTTGCAGTGCCCTATTATGCATCCGAGGACTGCATTCACCCTTTTCACCACCGAACCGCACGGAGAGCTCATGTTGAGGTGATTATCGACCTAAGTCAGGGCCGCCCAAGACTGTTTCCCATTCTGTAAGTAGGAACTCGCACTCTGTTCCCAGAAAACTTTCTTGCATATGGCTGTGTGCTATACTTCTGTACTCTGAGGGTCCCGAATTTGAGCACACCCATGGAATGCCTGTCGTTCCCCTTTCCTCTCAGCTGGGGGAAAGGTGGTGCAGTGATGCACTCTGCCAGAGGCTTTTCCCCCGCTGCTCCCCTAGTGGCGGGGGACGCAGAGCACCAGGTAAGCACCCTACCCCCAATCCTCCCTCCCTGACCCAGCAAAATCTTTAACCCAGAAAACCCTCTCTCTCAGGGTTGCGAATTTAAAGAGGTTCAAGTATATTAAATGTGTATTTTTTTGTTGTATTGCGACCATTAAACGAGATGATTCCGTTCACCCACATAAACCTGTCCTCGTTATTTAGTGGGCCACCGACATTGGCGTCATGTGCAAACTTTATCACCGAAGATGTTATATCTGTGTCTAGATTGTTGATAAAAATATTAAAGTAGTGCTGGACCAAACCTCAGCTCCTGTGGGAGTCTGACAGAAACAGCTCAGCTCACCGAGATCGCCCCATTAACCACTGCACTCAGCGCTCCAGCAGCGAGAGCGTTTTTAATCCATCTAACGTGCGCCCTGATAATCCTACATCATTCAAGTTTAATAAAAATGTCATGTGGTACTAAGGGTTTGTCCACGCGGAGAACGAGCGCACAAGGTGGCAGCGTGTAAATCTACAGCACACTAAGTCACTGTGTGGCTTTGCTCATGCACTAAAGGTTTGCTCGGAAATAGTAGCT